ACGCCAAAGTGACTGTGGCATCATTTCAAATCTTGGGCCCTATGACGTGTTCAACACATGGATATGTCATATTTGTGACATGTAGCATTCACTTCTTAAAACCTTGTTTTCACAGAACAAGAAATAAGCATGATCAAATTGATACCCGTACAAGGGAAACTCCAAATCTTTATGGTGGAAAAAATGGTTAATTAAAGGAGTTTTGGAGATTTTGAAAATAACATTGGTTTTGTATTCTCAGGTGCATAACCTATACATTGATGAAACTAAAGCTGTGGTGAACAATTACTGTACCTTCCACATACAGTATCTCTTTGGAAAAGAAGTGCCCTTGGTTGCTGTGTAAGGATCATGTAGAAAAAAAAAAGCTTTTTCTACAATCAGAACAGAACCAAGGTCAGGTAAGATGTTAATTTAAAAATTATTTTCACCCCACAATTTTTTTAAGCACAATTGTGGTATTAAATAAAACAAGAATACCAACAAAATCTCACCCCCTAACATGTAAGATTGCTTATACTTTCTCTAAATAAAAAGGGAGTGCACTATATTAAAATTAATCAAATTTTAACAGACGTTTGTTGAAACACTGTACATCAAAACAGTGAGCACATTCTTTTTCTTCTGTAGGTTTCCAGAAGAGGGCTGCTGAATACTAAAGGATCAGGGATGACAAGCAGAAACAAGGAAACTGGGATGACTTAAGCAAAGAAAATAGCAGAACGGTTTGTAAAAATCAAACGGCTGAAAATGGTCTTTGGTACAAGCCATGTTTAAAGTTTTATGTATTCCTTTTTCAGGTAGGCTATGAACTAGGAATGTGAACTCTCCTGTAGCAGGTTAATGTTAATCTTCACAAAATATTGATATTATCTTAAAACCTTCATTTTGTGACGCCCGGCATCCCTCCCTAGAGGGCGGTCCACTACTCCTGTGATTAAGCTCCCCAGGTGTACCTTCTTAGGTGTATTATTTTAAAGCTCCTCCAGTCCTTGGGGCTCATCATTAGGGTAAGGATGTCGCGAGGCCCGCTTAGCACCAGGAAACCCTCCGTCTCCTGAGGGCATAGGCCTCATCCCTTACACTTCCTGCTTCCTGAGCCTGGGGTCTGGAGGATCTCACCCAGTCACCCTTGGACCTCTGTTCGTGTTTTTCCCCCTTCCCGAGGGATTTTAACCTTGTCGTGTCCCAGGATGGATTACTCGCCACAAGACTCCTGGACTGTGCCCTGACCTGACTTTGGAGCCATTTGGATTTGGATGCTGTTCTTTGTCTCCCCCGTTCACTGTCTCATGGGCTATCACTATTATGTTTAGCACTATTAAACCCCTGTGTGTTTCCTTTTTCCACGCCTCCTGTTTTCTCCAGCTCTTACCGCATCACATAGGGTCTACTACAAGACCTGACACGGATCTCAGTCCGTGGCCGTAACAATTTGACCACCCAAAAAATAGCAATGCATTTATTGGGCCACAAACTTATCATGGCAACCTGCTGCTAAAATAATGCCACTATGAACATCAAATTTTAAATTTCAGACAAATCTACCATGAATCCCTTAAACGTTGTAGGTCATTGGAATATGCACTGAATAAAGTGATAATGAGACACATTTGATTAACTTTCCTTTTTCAGTTAGGTACATATTCTTACATGTAACACATGTAATAAACTTAATAAACAGTATTAAAAAAAGTAAATTCAGTAATCAAAATCACATTTAGGTGTTATTTAGGTGTTAAATGAGCAAAACAATTCTAAATGATTTTCTAGTCAAGCACAACAAATCACTGTAGAAGTCATTAAATTGCAGAAATTGCTGGAGTGGCTAGACGGAATCTAATCTGACCAAATCAAGTAGATGATCAGCATCAGTGAAAAATTACTTTATATAACTCTTTAAATTAATTTGGAAGGAAATGTTCTTCCATCCATTCATCCATTTTCTACACTACTTTACTCAGTACAGGGTCACAGGGGGAGCTGAAACAATGGATGCAAGGCAGGATGTGATGCCAATAATTTTGGGGGTGACTATACAGTACATACAGTATAAAAAGGATGGCCAACCCTGGTCCTGGAGAGTAACAATCCACATGAAATCTTAATGCACCTGAACTACGTTTCACAGATCACCCCTAAATCATCAATTTGTAAAGATGATTAGTCTTGATCATATAAGCAAGTGATTTATTCAATGAAGTAGTTCACAGATCATGCAAATCTCAACACCCCATACAGCAGCTTTCAAAGACCATACATGGCAACTGAGGTCTGAAGTGAACCAATAAATTTACTAAACTGATGAAGCTTTACATGTTCCAAGTCTTTACAAATTGTTGATTTAAGGCTGAATTGTGGCTCTCTGGGACCAGGACTGGCCATCCCTGACATACACATAATGACAAATGTATACAATAAATACATTACTGTAAATACAATTAACAAGTAAAAGTTAGAATCTCTTGGTAGGCTTATTTCATCAAGAAACTGGAAGAGCAGCTCTCTCCATAATCAGCTTTAGCTACAAATACATCTAGAGAATTAATTGCGATTTAGAACTCAAATTGTTTCAATCAATGATCACAAAGCACCTGTTCTGTATTAGTAGCATCTGAAGATCTAAAATATAAAAAGTTTATATTGCTTTTCCTGAAGTCCAGTCAGAAGTCCAGAGTACTACTCATCACATAGTCATGCTGACCTTAGTTCTTAGTTACATTCTGAGGATGAATTAAGACAGACACACATAGAGCAATATTTAATTATTTTAATGCTGAAATGGATTTGTATCTCAATATCAAGCATAAACGCCATAAGGGAACATAAAATTTAAAATGGCTTTTTTGTTTTTCTCAATTTTATTTGACAGAAATGACTAATATATTAAAGGAATCATGAAAATAAATATAAATAGGACTTTTGTTAAGGTCGGCATCTGGGGTGAGGGAGTGGTTGCATAGTAAAATTAAGCTATAGGCAATCAAACCTAATTGTTAGAGCCCTGAGTAATCTTCAATATTGCAAAAATTTCTGCTGCTACAAAATTTGGTTGCAGCTATATTTTTTATCACCAGGACTGTACTGCAAAACACAAAACAGCTGCAAGCATTATCTCAGCATTTAGAGATTTGTTGTGAAACAATTTGTCTAAGGGTGTGAAACAACTGACAATGTGTCCCCTGTACTTTACTGTTGGTTGGACAAATGTAACTGTTCTGGTTGACAATGTGGTGCACTTTAAATTCACAAAGTATGAATATAAAACATCAAGGTAGCTTTATCCTGCTTATGTTCAGGGGTTAATTAAAAAATATTTAAGTAAACTACACCCCATTCCTTTTACATGCAAATAGACAACACATGTCAATACCAATTAAAATGATAAAACAAAATAGGAAGAGGAGACAGATAAAACAGTTTATTGAGAGTGAAAACACTGAGAATCATGAAGTGTGACAAAATTTGAATCTTGTGTGCAGAAACAGCATTGTTTCTGAACAGTAAACAATCTGAAAAAAAATCCTAGACAGCTGCTGTCCTGCTAAAGGATGACAATCATTTTTTACATGAATGTACAGTACAGTTACATTAAAGAGCTTCAGAATGTACATAATAATGCTACAAAATGTTTGTTTTTATAGTTTAAGCTCTCTTTTACATTCTGATTTCATTTTAAAGAGAACGTCATTAGATGTGATGAATTACTACAATTAAAGTTGTATAGTTACTTCGATGTTTTCTATCTTTGCCCAAAATTGAACTACAATGCTTCAAGACCTTTTCCACAATAGGGTTCCACCGGTTGTCTTAAACCTCAAGGCTGAGAATTTTTTGCACTCCTGAACTCTGTTCACAAATGACTGTGTGTCTCCACTGACGATTGTATAAATAAGTTCAACTTTGTCAATAAAACCAGTGTTGTGGTACTAATTCATACTGAAGATAAATCTTGAGTACAAAGAAGATGCAATGGTGAACTTGTGCTCAAATAATGTGAAGCTCAATTCAAGAAAACCTAAAGAAGTTATTGTTGATAACACAAAAGAAAAGACACCAGTGTAATAAATGGTTGGAGCATCAAAGCTGCTAATGAATGCAAGTTTCTGTGCATCAACATCTCTAATCTCAAGTTGAATAACATCATTTATACCATTGTAAAGAAAGCACAACAGAAAATATTTTTCTTAAAAAGTGGAAAAGATTGTAGGTCAAGTTAGCATTTTAAAATACATTGCAAATACAGTGTGGTTCAGAAGTGCATCAAAATGTGTCTCTAACAACTCTAAATCTATCATCAGGAGGTTTTTTTAATCAGATTCACCATGTTCTAGACATTATAGATCTTTTAAAGCAATTGTCATGTATTTCATAAAATGTTTAGATTCCACAGCGATTTAAACATAATATCATGGTGGACCTTATATATTGCTCACATCCAAAAAAGGCCCCATAGTCAAAATGTTGTGTTTTTTTTCTTCTCTTTTCAGCATGGAATAAACCTATTACTTGTTTGTTATATATTGTAATTTGTCACTGTACTGTATGTGCAATAGATTTGTATAAAGTGTGATATATTATTTGTGTACGAGTTGAATAATGAATTGACTTATCTGCAAACTCACAACAAAAACTCTTTTTCTTCTTTGTCACTTGGCAGTGATGTACTCGTACCGAGCTTATAACACCTTTCTATTCTCACACACCATATGTTAATTTGATGACCTTGATGATCAGTTTGAGTGCACTGCACATGAATGAAAGCCCTTACTGTAAGGCTTAAAAATATGCAGTATTTTCTCTCATGCAAGTTTCACAATTGAAAACAATTGAAAAGCTATTAAATTATATACTTTTGAAAGATTATGTGCATGTCCTTCAAGCCTTTATTACTTGCACAGCTCTTATTCTAACCTATAATTCCTCTTGAAAACACAATGCGTGCCTTATTTTAAAGCCCACACACACTACTGTAACTAGCTCTAACTAGCATCTCTTACCTTTGCTGAGGTTTCAAACCAACCCAAGAAGCCAGACTCTTTGCAAAAATTGTCCATGAGGGTGAAGTTGTCAGTGGTGCTGTCTTTCTTCTGGTCACACTTATTGGCAAGCAGCACAGCAGGGATAGGATTCCCATTGGTCAGCTTCACCTTGCTGTCCAGGTCGTGTTTCCACTTGGAGACTGCCTCGAAGGTGGATCCTCTTGTGACATCAAAGACAACAAATGCTCCAACTGCTTCTTTGTAGTACACCCTGGTCATGTTACCAAACCGTTCCTGACCTGAAAAAAAGGGGCAGAATTTTAATGAAACATAATTAACATAACATAATTTAATATAACAAAAACCTCCTAAATTTCAGGAGAAAAATAAACTTTAAATTTTACCTAAGCAGTGCAATTTGTTTGTCCTTTCTCCAAATGTGCCTGCTCTGTACCTGATCTGTAATTTTCATTTGTACCATGAAGTCAAGAGGCATCTCTAACAATAAACAGCATCTAACCCTTTCAAATTTATAGGCTCATTACAAATTAGGAAAAGTCTGCAAAAAATATTAAGTTACATCTCAGCACTATCATCTGTATATAATGCTTCACAAACATGCTCCCAGAAAAAGATCCTTAGATCATGTCTTGCAAAGCAGGGAGAACTGGGATCATTAGGCTTCATTTCCAATCTATGATGTCACTCTCTGCTGTCTAAATGTGGAGCAAAGCTCTCTCTTGTTTTTTGGAAAACCTTGGTCTAAGGGACATTTCACAGCGAGATCCACTTTCATCTAGGAAAATTCCAGTCCAAGCAAATTAAACTATTTGATTTTTTTAACTAATTATTTTTCTTTACATAAATCTGTTTCTCCTACAGTTGTCATCATCTTGGCAATTCTGTAGTTTGTAGAACAGGCTGAACAGTCACCTGAAAAGTTGTAAATGGAGTTAAGTTTTCCAGGAATCTCCTGCAAATCAAATGTCATACCTGAATGACATTTACTGAGTCTATTAGTATTAACAATACAGATTAACTTTCAACACCTGAGACACCAAGAGACAACTAATGTTGGAACGTTGGAACTGGCATCCAATCTTGGTAACTGAACTGAGATAAAGCATAGTAGGGCTTCTCAAACACTTAATTAGGTTCTGCATGAATTGTAAGGAGCTCACGAAATTTTACCATGAAAAAAAATAAGCAATGATGATGCAATATTCTAAAGGCTTTTATTTCTTTGTAATAAAAGCTACTCAACTACTCTTTGCAAGAAAGGGAAAGAAGACACCATAGTATTATGACAGCACAATGTTTGTACTATAAATCATCTAATAAGGAATTCTTAAGATGATGGGATCCATGTGCACCCTTTGGACTGCCAAATTAGTCAATTTAATGTAACAAAATAATAAAATCTGAAATGTAAGCTTTAGTAGATTTGACTTCTATTTTTTAAATTAAAATACAGATTTGTAAAAAAAATATATAGTAGGTACATCTGCAGCTTTCTTGTTGTTTAATAGACTTTCAAAAATTGTAGAATCAACTTATATATGTTCCATCATGTTAAATATTCAGCTGTATATAATGCATATTTCTGTCGCAGGCTCCTTTAATGGGACGATCAAGAATCTGCTATGTAAATCTGTCCACATAAACAAATTCACACTCAAGCACTTGCAGGAACAGCAAGCTTCTAAAAGAACAGGCAGAAATAATTAGTCACACTCTCACTCCAGGTAGTAAAGCTGGCAGAACTTCTTACAGGATGTCTTTGAATATTAAAAAATAGGCATGACAGCATTCTGTCTCTACAGCACAAAACAAAGGCACGGTTGGTTAAAAGTGTGGTGTGAACCTAAAATAATGTGTGAATGTATGACAACATACAGTACAGTTCTTACTTTGTAAACTGGTTTTGATTTTCCTTGCAGTGTGTAGGAAACCACATCTTACACATATCTACTTTTACCACTGTAAAAATATGAAAGGGGATTAAACTGCATTTTGAATTGTTCTTGACACATGTTTTAACACAGTTAATCTTTTCAGTTTGTATTGTATACAGCACACTTTGTAACTCAGGAAAAGGAATTTGTTGACAAAAATTAAATCTACACAAACCAGACATTTTTATTAATGGAGATGGAATAAAAACACTCCCAGCAGTGTTTTAAGTTGAATTTTATTTACATTCTTTGAAAAAGCATAACCTGAATGTTTGTGGAGGAGTGGTATAAGATAAATATGTGATCTTGTAAAATGAAGAATACTAGCTGAGGAACAGAAATCTCGAGTGAAAAGCATTTAAAAGATATTCAGATATAGAATATATGGCCTGAAAAGGACAAACAGAGCACTGTTCTTGACTGCACAGCTGATGTTAAAGTGGAAGCTCAGCAGTTCATGTGATCATCAGCATTTGTATGTGGTAGAGATTAGGAAGAAAGCATAGAAGAGAAGGAAGTTTACTTCTCACTATGGAAACATAGAGTCTAATAGAATCTTACTGAATTCTAGAAACATACTGTATGTATTAAAGGGCATATTTTCCTCAGCAAAACTGACTTCAAGTGTTTTTTCAGACAAATCAGTAGGACTATCTTGCTAAATATTTTGGAGGCTCACTTGTAAATGAAAGCCTTATTTTAAAAAAATATAATGATCTTAAAACACGGACAAACCCAAAATTGATTAAATAGGACATACAACATGTTTTGAAACTGATACAAACTGGCTCTCCAGCTCAGATCTCTGTGGAACTGTTACATGAGGAGATTGACAGGGAGAGAAAATGAAGAATGCCTCTAGTAGAGATCACCCTAGGAGGCTGTCACAATGTCACTGTTCTTGCACTAACAAAACACTCCAGCTATACTATTGTACTTTTTATTAGGCAAGAGGCAACCCAAAGCGCTCCATCATGGGACACTCCCAAAAGGCACAGTTAGGTGCATTTAAGCCAGGGCTAGTAAGAAGGGTGAAGACCTCCTACAATCCTCTGTGTTCAAAAATGGCTCAGCCTGTGGCCTCCTTATTAAGCTTGGCTTCATTTTGTCTTTCTTCTTGCAACAAGACTTAACATGTGATGTTAATACAAATGTTCATGGATTAGGAAGGAAACCTGTAATATAGGCTCTTTTTCATTTTAGAGAAATTAAATATTAGTCATTGATTTAAAACAATGGAATACTTTGAATCTTCATAATAATATCAATTAGGACTTTTGTCCCTTTTTAAGAAAATAAATGAAAGGAAAGGCTTTCAATGGCTAATTAATCAGACTGGTTTACACAAAATGTATATATTAATGTTCTGGTCTTCCTTTATTAGGACCTCCATAATGCTAAGCTGCTTTAAAGTTCATCTCACTTCTGCAGTCATCTTGCTATAGGCCACTGCTCATAATCCCAGATGTAATAACTGTTTGGGGCTGGAAGAAAACACAAAACTACTCATTGCTGGTCAACAAACATCATCTTGGTCAGGAAACCCTTCTTTTAAATATGTATACAACAAATATACTGTTACAAAAATTAGGGAAGAAAATAACCTATGCCAAGAACTGTTATGAAAGAGTGTTAGGGGGCCGATAAAATTATAAGAGAATATCAAATTAATATCCCAATAAAATAAGAATCAGGTCCTGAGATCAGTTTGCTTTGCAAGCAAGTTACTTAATTCTGCACTACAACATGATAATGCAATATGGACCAGGCAGCAATCGCAGACAGCATAAACTATTTTACAATAAATTACACCACTACACAAACACACAATGTTTACAAATATATGCAGATACTACACTTCTGTGCGTGTCGGAGCAATATAGACATAGAAAATGCAAATTTCTGACTCTAATCCAAACAAAAAACGCCTCAATGGGTGAAGGGACAACTTTTGTCCTATTAAATGAAAGTATCTTAGCCAGGACTAAATCCAGCTTTTTAAATGTTTGTGCACAATTTAATGGGAACTGATTTCCCTATTTTAAACCTCAGGACTAACCAAGAACAGATGCTTTCAGCCTGAGGATACCACAATCTAGGACATTAGAATTTCTTCTAATAAGACAGCATACCTCTTTTATGAAGACTATGGTTCTCTTCCAGTATTCAGATTACCTGTACAGAATGTGGTATTAAGGATGATAAAAGTATAAAAAACTCTTTTGGTTTAAGATTAATTCACTACCTAAGATGCTGCTGTTGCCTTCCTTTCCTCCTTTAATTCTCACTTTCCTCCTCTTTGATTTTTACTGTCTTTCTGTATATCTTACTCTGAGACCTAGCCATTCCTAAGATCCACCCCTTTGAAGGCTGACATAATGACCACTAGTACTAGTATTTTTCGTTGTAATGATCTAACAGTGAATTAGATTAATCTGAGATAATCACACCTTTCATCATCTGTATCTTTTGCCATGTTTACTTGCCATCAAGGTCCAACCACAGCTCTGTAAATACAGCAAAGCAATGCTCAAACAGTATGCTGTAGAATCAGATATCAATAAAGGAAGCACAAACATCTACTGTAGATAACCCCCCATCTGTTACAATATAAATCTGTACAACTTATTTCTTAAAGACTGTTGCAACAATACTGAGGTTCAAATATTTCTTGTTAAGTTCATTTTCAAGATTGGATTTTAGTGATATGTTAGAGAACAGTTTGCTACAAAAATTTTAAAGCTAAACTCACATTTTGCCAGCTAACCATATCTTTTCATACTGGCAAAAAAAGAAATGCACACAGATCTTCAATGAGCACTGACACAAATGTGGGAGTGAATGGAACATGGAATGGTTTTTATATACAGTAGAGTGCCATCCCCAGCCAGACCAGTTTTTAACTTAGTTAATCAGAATTTACCACTAGGTTCCCAGTACCCAGTAATCTTACTCAGATTAAATTCTGAGTATGCTGTACCTTTCAAAAGTGGAGCTGGTAGAACTCAGCCACATAATTGCTCTTTATTATCCTACTAAATTTAGTCTGCACCAAAAGGAGGTTAATTCATAGAGGACAAGACACAGAAGAGAACCACTTCTTACTGTAACTGTAGTTTAGTTTTAGAATGTCATTCTAAATATTAAAACTATGCAAAGCATTGCTATTAAAATTATTAATAGACCCTACAGAAACAGTGGGGGACCGTTAGTGATAGTCTATTGTGAATTCCAATAAGCAGAAATTCTTATATTTCCTTCTTGAGGAAAACCTACATAACTGATATTAAAATTATTTAATGTTAAAACACATGCTCACACAACATAAGAACACTTGCAGAGAA